TGAAGACAGGGACTGAAGTCAATGTACAATACATATGTAAAGTGCTTTGTAAATTTACAGCACTATATAAGTGCCTGTAATAATTGACATGCCCTCTCTCCTCCATCTGGTGCTTCAGCTACATGCCATCTGTTTCCTATCAATAAGTGAAAGAAAATCCCCACGCAACTGTGCTATATCAACCCAATGGAGTTGATTTACTAAAACAGGAGAGTGCAAATAGAAAACAATCAGATTTTTTTTGTCAACACTTTTGTGAATAAGCTGAAGTTAGACGCTGATTTGCTACCATGCAGAGCTGTACCAGATTTTGCGCTCTCCAGTTTTAGTAAATCAACCTCAATATGTTTATATAGCTGTATATGTGAATACCAGGGTTGCTGCTGCTCAAATGATGTGCAAAACCACATACCTTATATATACATTGATAGTTAAGAGCTGCGCTAACCAAATCCTTAATCTCTTGTACTTTATTACACAAACCTTATATAAAATAAATCTAATAGATATCAAAAAAATAATTCTAACAATTATATAATACTTAATGATACATCAAATATATGATCAATTAATGTGAAACCAATATGAAGTGCTGTGACAGTCCAATATAAAGTGGACAACGCACAGCACTTTATTGATTTAAGATTTACAGCATATGATTTTGCACTTTTATGGCACTTGCACTTTATATTGGATTGTAATAGCACTTTTAGTTATAAGGATTATATAACTGTTGGATTTTTTTTTTTATATCTATTACATTTCTTGTATGAGGTTGGTTTAATAGAGTACAAGAGATTAAAGCAGAGCTCCAGTCAAAAAAAAAAAAAAAAAAAAAGTTAGCAGCTACAAAAACTGTAGCTGATGATTTAAAAAAAACCAGCCACTTACCAGTCCTAGGATCCTGCGGTGTACTCACTGCAGCCAGTTTCATTGGCCATCCTCACTCCCAGCGCTGGCATCTTAAGTGTGGGAACCTGGCTGTGACAGCTTGTGGCCTCTGAGCATGTGCGAGTAGCGCTGCGCTTTGTGAATGGTCCCATAGTCTTCTGGGACCTGTCACTTATCCCAGAAGACCATGGGGAGAGAGGGGGGGGGGGACAACTTTTGCTTCCGATAGCCTAGGTAATGGCAGCGGAAGTGGGAGCGTGTACCTGTCAAAATCGGGTACCCGCACCCCAAAGGTTCCAATTCCTCACAAGTGAGCGGAGGACCGGTACTTAAAGCGGAACTTCTCCTTATGGGTGGAAGAATTGAAAAATTGGGTTAGCACATCTCTTATCTATCAATCTGTTTCCTATCATCAGGTACACAATATAGTAAAGAGGTTTTGACACCTAGCAAATGTAGAACTGAAGCAGTTGCCAAAGATCCATCACTTCACTAAAAGCACCAGAATTCCTTAAATAGATACGAAGAACTTTAAAATCTAGACACCAGTACAGAAGGATTTAGTTTACCTTTGTCGCAAAACTGAACTACAATCTTGTTGCTCAGCACTGTGATCTGCCACCTTTTAGGTCTTCAATGTAACTAGCAATTGCAGAGGTAATAAAATAAACCCGATTACCTTCTTAATCGATGGCTAAGGCTGGACATACATTATACAATTTTCTTGAGATTTTTGGTTTAGATTTACCAAAAACCATATAATAGGAGGTCAAACCTAACAATACTTTCAGTTGTATCCAATTAGGCAGGCTCTTGCACTACATAGTTGAAGGTAAATCTAAAGTAAATTGGGCAGAAATTGGACAGAAAATTGTATAGTGTATGGCCAGCCTTAGTGGTTAGTACTGATGCTTAGCACCACTAGGGGCGTCGGTTTGAATCCCAGCCACAGCAGTACCTGCCTGGAGTTTGCATGTTCTCCCTGTGCCTGTGTGATATTCCTCCGGGTACTCTGGTTTTCTTACCACCCTCTAAAGGCATGCTAGTAGGTTAATTGGCTCTTGTGTAATTTAGCCCTAGTATGTGTATGTATGATTTTGAGTTATGGACCTTAGATTGTAACCAAAATAATTTCCTAGATTGTAAGCTCCAAGGAGCAGGGCCCTCCTATCCCTCTTGTATTGAACTGTATTGTTGCTCTATTGTCCCCCGTTATATTGTAAAGCGCTGAGCAAACTGTTGGCGCTATATAAAGCCTGTATAATAATAATAAATATACATACTCACCTGGATGACTGCAGCATCGATCCGATGCTGCAGCTTTCCCCTGCTGGATCTACACCAAGAACTGAGCAATCAAAGACCACTGATCACTCAGTTCTCAGGGCCATTTACACTTGTCAGGTGTGAGGCATCACAGCATTGTGATACCAGCACAGTTATAAAATTGTTCACAAATATATTACCTTTGTTGAGAAAGGTAGTACCACTACAGCCCCAGTGCAGGGAATTTTCAAAAGAAGTCAGCATCTTAAAATAAAACTGACCTAGCCTCCTAAAAGACAACAACAGCTATTATTTGCAGGGACATTCTGTTGTCTTCAAATACCTGTTTAAATTGATCCCTGTGTACAGGGGGACTACCCTTGGATTCTAAACTTAGATTGTACACAGGGCTATGTCACTTAACTTTCAAATGCCTGAGCCTTCACTACCCACTGCCATTCTGGAAATTGATAGTCCATTGACAGTCTTGTACATTAAATCTACACCAACAACTACTCATGAGAATGAGATATGAATTATAGAATACTGGCAAATCCAAGCGATATGACATTTAATCTGTCTTGATAGAGGCTTCCATGACTCAAAATGTAGCTCTATGCAATACCAGGAGTGCGGTTCTCCTAACTTTGTTGTATTACATCTCCTTATATACACATATGATCCAGGGACTACCAGTCCCTAGTCTCATTAATAAACCCACTTTATTATTACACCGTGTACTGTGGTGCTAAGATGATTGATCACCTTTCACTTACTTGTTTGTTATTGAGTACTTTTGCTATTCTGATTCAAAGTTGTGGATTTATGTATATTTCTTGATGCCTTTAGATTTGCTGAAGTTATACTGTTAGGTGCATCAAAATCCCCAAAAAACCTTTGTGAAAACAAAAATGCAGCTGTATTTAGAGGTATAGTCTTGATTTCACTATGTACATTTAATTAAAAAAATCTGTAAGTGCAAGAGGAGTCTCTAGAAAAAAAAAAGCCTGGCGGTGGTACTTTTGGCACCTGGAATAATAAATCTCTGCCAATCAAACCACCAATGGTCTTTTTTCAGATTCCGCTTTCACTTACTGATTACATTTTCCCAACTGAGAACTCCACAGAGAACTGATGGGATGGGAACCCCTAAGGTAAAGAGAGCGATCCTTGATTCTGCGTGGATCCTGCATGTTTTTCTCCATCCTCGTACTTGGAATGTTGCGTTTTTCTATCCTTTTGGGTGAACGTGGCCGCAACAGATGTAAGTATTTTATCTCTGTCCTTTCAATTGTAGCGCTACTTTCCATGGTTTTTACCTGTGTAGCCAAGTACTAGCTGTATCATTATGCCATTCAGAGACACTTACAAATGAGGCTATGATTACTTATTTTCCCCTTAGTGCTCAGTACTGGGATTGCTACATCAATTCCGGTTAGCAGAGAGGATTCAGTTTTCTCACAGCAGAGGATCTTGGGACCTGTAGTCCTACAGCCAATAGATCCTGTATTCCTGAGTGCTGATTGAACTATAAATACCAGTGAGCTGCCCAATGAGAAGGATGCTGGGAAAGCAGATATATTCTACAGCAAGGGACTGGCTAGCTCTCTTGGAGTGGGATTCAGAGCTGAACACAGGGAGACTGCTGGTCTCCTCCAGAGACAGATTGTTGGCCTGCTGCTGCGGGACTCTACACATCAGTTCAGCACAGCGATGCTGCTGATCGCCAAACCGGGATTGCATCATTTTCTCTGCATTGGGGCTGTCACTGTTCCATCTTCACACAGACATCTCTGCTTGTGCACTGGCAGGCCATCAGGCGGTAACTCTGCACATCTCTGCAAACAGCCAAGAGGTCGGGCAAGGACTCTCATTCCTAGGAAGCCATTCTATCCATAGGGTTGGTGAGCAGGCGGATGCCCAATCTCTTTCTGTCATCATTCTAGAGACGCTGCATGCAGACACCTTTGCCAGGAGACCTTTGCTTTGAGCAGTACCATGTCTTATCTGTTTAAGTTCATTATCAGTATTTACTAATACTTATGGGCCCAACCCAGCTGCATATCATCCATGGGTGCAGGGTGCTCACTGCACATGGGCCCTGAGGTTGGGAGGCACTGTGGTCTGACCTGCACTGTACCCATGGATGATGCAAGTATGAGGCACTGAAGTGCAGCTGTCTTTGCCGGCATACAGGCTCTGCCTGCCCAATGTCACACTATGGCACTCTCTGGGGCCCCACCCTTGTCACTGCCCGGCACCCACCTGCTATCACTCTCTAGGCCTTCCTGCTGTCACTGCCTGCTGATCGGAGGGAGAACTGGCCCTCCTGTAGGGGGCCGGGAACACAGGATTTCCCCCTCTCCTCTTTCCAGGCAGCAGCTGGCTCTGAACTTTGGTGGCCGTGCCTTGCTCTCAGAGAACATGTTTCTCCTCTACACATTTTGCTGCTCAGGGCCAGTGTGAAAACCTGCAGTAAGGAGCTAGGGATGTCCTTGCTAGCGGCAGAAGTGCTGAGGTAGAGCCGACCCCAGGGGACCATCAGTGCCAGAGTCTGGGATGTGGTGAGTGGAGGCTGTGGGCCAGCTATGAGCTGCAAACGGAACCTGTTATCAGGGAGCAGCAGCGTTATGGCAGAAAAAACACTTGGCGTGTGTAAATATGTCTAAATGTGTTTTAAACGCTAGACGTTTAAAAAAATTATTATTCTCGCCAGTTCAATGTCTGACACTTGTAAACGTGTTTAAATCCTTTAAAAGCATTAGATACTTTAACAAGCAAAAATGCTGCTGCCAAGAGGAAGGTTTCTAGGAGAGTTTTTTTTTTATATGTCCTGTGTGCATGAGGCCTTAACCCCCCTGGCAGTATTCCAGAGTGTAGCTCAGGGTTAACTTTCAGTACCAAAAACGGTAACCCCGAGCTACACTCGGGAATACACTGCAGTGTTGCTCTGGGATCCCTCCAGCACTTACCTTGTCCTGCGCTCCCGCGATGTCCCCCCTGCAGCATCCCCAGCCCTCTCCTCCGGCCGATGCCGGCATCCGTCTTCTGGGTTCCGTTCCCTGTGAGCGTCGGGATGTACGGGGGATGGAACCGGCGGGAAATTCAAAAATGTTAAAATGTGACATTCACTAAATACACTAAAATCTTATAGTATAACATTGCTGTATCAAAGCATTCCAAATACATTTTGTCCCTAGTGCTTTGTCCTGTGCCCTGCCTGCATTTTTACTGTTCTTTCTGCCTGGAAACTGAGAAACGTCCATTGCGTCCAAAAAGCATCCCTTTAGGTCAAAAGCGGTTTTAGACCAGCTAGAGAACAGCGATAGTAAATTAGAACTACTTGCAGAATTGAGTGATAACAATTCGTGGGGAAATTCGTCATCAGACACTGAAAACGATTTTGCGACTTTGCTCAGTGATGTGCGAACTTGGCACTCTATTTCAAATTTCAGTGTTTTTGGTTTGATATTATTGAATTAAATTTAATATTATATTATTTTTTATGATTTATTATATTATAATTTATGATTTCGTGTTTCAAATTTTATCATACCCGGGATGTTTACTAGACTTTTGTTCGGACAGATTTCAGTGAGTTATTCCTAAGAATTACAGGCCTACAATAAAAACCAACATATTTCCATGCAAAAAAATGTATCGCTTTGAGCGCAGAAATATTGACATAATCAGACCGCTAGGGAGGTTAAACTTCACTTGCACAGAATTTGAGTCTTTTTGACCATTCGAAACCTAAGAAACAAGGGGTTCCACAGAGATCAGTTGGGAAGACAAAGATACTTGCAGGCACCAGGTTAGCTCTGCTGTTACCTTTTTTAATGCTTTAGGCTAGGTTCGCGTTAAGACTTTTCAATGTTTGATCTGAGATCTCATAACACATGACTGTAATAAATAAAGTTTGTGACATAAGTTGATTATCAGTTTTCACTCTATCCCACAGTGGTATATACACTGGTGAAGCAAATGAGTGTTGATCTTGCTATTAGATGTCAATCATGTATTAGATTTAATTTACTCTGATGTGACTTGTTGCTCTGGCAACATCTCAATTTCCCTCTAGTTTCGATAAATTAGCTTCTTTGTGTCAGGTGAAATGTCCTGCAGTATTTTACAACAACAACCAGCTTTTGGATGAAAAGGTGATTTCTGATTGGTTGCTACAGGTGAAACTCAAAAAATTAGAATATCGTGTAAAAATGTATTTCAGTAATGCAACTTAAAAGGTGAAAACAAATATATGAGATAGACTCATTACATGCAAAGCAAGATAGTTCAAGCTTTGATTTGTCATAATTGTGATGATTATGGCTTACAGCTCATAAAAACTCCAAATCCACAATCTCAGAAAATTAGAATATTGTGAAAAGGTGCAATATTCTAGGCTCAAAGTGTCCCACTCTAATCAGCTAATTAAGCCATAACACCTGCAAAGGGTTCCTGAGCCTTTAAATGGTCTCTCAGTCTGGTTCAGTAGGAATCGCAATCATGGGAAAGACTGCTGACCTGATAGTTGTGCAGAAAACCATCACTGACACCCTCCATAAGGAGGGAAAGCCTCAAAAGATAATTGCAAAAGACGTTTTAATGTTCCCAAAGTGCTGTATCAAAGCACATTAATAGAACGTTATGTGGAAGGGAAAAGTGTGGAAGAAAAGGTGCACAAGCAGCAGGGATGACCGCAGCTTGGAGAGGATTGTCAGGAAAAGGCCATTCAAAAGTGGTTGGGGACTTTCACAAGGAGTGGACTGAGGCTGGAGTCAGTGCATCAAGAGCCACCACACACAGATGGATCCTGGACATGGGCTTCAAATGTCGTATTCCTCTTGTCAAGCCGCTCCTGAACAACAAACGCCAGAAGCGTCTTACCTGGGCTAATGAAAAACAGACTTGTCTGTTATAGTGGTGAGACCCTCCTGCGCTCCAAATAATGTGTTTAAACAATTAAAACAAATTAAATATATGAACCCCAAACAGCTGCTAGCATTAAATCATATACCAGTGATCAAGTGAATATAAACTATATAAATGCTGCGCTACATTCAAACTTATTAAGTGAATGTGGAATCCAATGACACAAATCCAATATAGTGACAATAATAATGAAATAAATAATACGTGCTTACTAATAACAAAATTATCAAATAAAACACCCAAAAAGATGAAAAAAAACACAAACTTAAATCTATACGCTTGTGCATAAAAATACACATACATATAATTACATCACACGTGCAAATGTGAAGTGAAATAATGATTACTTATTAAACGCAAACAAAAAGTCCAATATAAAAATGTTGAAGGTGAACAAAACTGTAAACGGTGTTTCCAATAATACTGTAAAGTGACCACAGGTGAAAACAAATCGTGCAGGTATCTGGGTGTAGATAGAGCTTATGAATCCAACCACCTTCTGGATTAGCCTCTCACCTCATCACTTCGACCCTTGCGGATCAAAGAGCAATAATGGATCCCTCTCACAGATCCTCCAGGCACCACAGCACTCCAAAAACGCTTTTTCAGGATTTAATATTCCCACTCAAGCTCTTCTCCAGGTATAGGTGAAATATCAATCTCTCAGAACAAAACAGAGGAATCCTCCCATAGTGTAGTATATTTATTATACCATAGGAACATAGGAACATAAAACTTTGGTAAAAAATTCCACTTACATAGCAGCCAGTCCACATAAGACCCTCATGCTCTCAGATGAGGATATATCTGTGTTTGTTGGTGTACAGCTGAATAACAGGTGTACCAAGATGGCCGCCACGCCGGAAATACGTCACCGCGCTTACGCCGACGCGTTACGTCACAATAACACGTGACTTCATCCCTGAGCCCTGATGAAGTCACGTGTTATTGTGACGTAACGCGTCGGCGTAAGCGCGGTGACGTATTTCCGGCGTGGCGGCCATCTTGGTACACCTGTTATTCAGCTGTACACCCAACAAACACAGATATATCCTCATCTGAGAGCATGAGGGTCTTATGTGGACTGGCTGCTATGTAAGTGGAATTTTTTACCAAAAAGTTTTATGTTCCTATGTTCCTATGGTATAATAAATATACTACACTATGGGAGGATTCCTCTGTTTTGTTCTGAGAGATTGATATTTCACCTATACCTGGAGAAGAGCTTGAGTGGGAATATTAAATCCTGAAAAAGCGTTTTTGGAGTGCTGTGGTGCCTGGAGGATCTGTGAGAGGGATCCATTATTGCTCTTTGATCCGCAAGGGTCGAAGTCATGAGGTGAGAGGCTAATCCAGAAGGTGGTTGGATTCATAAGCTCTATCTACACCCAGATACCTGCACGATTTGTTTTCACCTGTGGTCACTTTACAGTATTATTGGAAACACCGTTTACAGTTTTGTTCACCTTCAACATTTTTATATTGGACTTTTTGTTTGCGTTTAATAAGTAATCATTATTTCACTTCACATTTGCACGTGTGATGTAATTATATGTATGTGTATTTTTATGCACAAGCGTATAGATTTAAGTTTGTGTTTTTTTTTCATCTTTTTGGGTGTTTTATTTGATAATTTTGTTATTAGTAAGCACGTATTATTTTATTTCATTATTATTGTCACTATATTGGATTTGTGTCATTGGATTCCACATTCACTTAATAAGTTTGAATGTAGCGCAGCATTTATATAGTTTATATAGACTTGGTCTGTTGCTCAGTGGTCCAAAGTCCTCTTTTCTGATGAGAGCAACTTTTGCATCTCATTTGGAAACCAAGGAACCAGAGTATGGAGGAAGAATGGAGAGGCACACACTGCAAGATGCTTGAAGTCCAGTGTGACGTTTCCACAGTCTGTGTTGATTTGGGGAGCCATGTCATCTGCTGGTGTTGGTCCACTGTGCTTCATTAAGTCCAGGGTCAACGCAGCCATCTACCAGGAGATTTTGGAGCACTTCATGCTTCCTTCTGCAGACGAGCTTTATGGGGATGCTGACTTCATTTTCCAGCAGGACTTGGCACCTGCCCACACTGCCAAAGCACCAAAACCTGGTTCAATGACCGTGGGATTACTGTGCTTGATTGGCCAGCAAACTCGCCTGACCTGAACCCCATAGAGAATCTATGGGGCATTGCCAAGAGAAAGATGAGAGACATAAGACCGAACAATGCAGAAGAGCTAAAGGCCGCTATTGAAGCATCCTGGTCTTCCATAACACCTCAGCAGTGCCACAGGCTGATAGCTCCATGCCACGCCACATTGAGGCAGTAATTGCTGCAAAAGGGGCCCAAACCAAGTACTGAGTACATATGCATGCTTATACTTTTCAGAGGTCCAATATTGTTCTATGTACAATCCTTGTTTTATTGATTGCATGTAATATTCTAATTTTCTGAGATTGTGGATTTGGGTTTTCATGAGCTGTAAGCCATAATCATCACAATTATGACAAATCTCAGCTTGAACTATCTTGCTTTGCATGTAATGAGTCTATCTCATATGGTTTCCAAATGGTCAGTCTGCCCCTGGCTGTGCCAATAGAGTCTAGAAATGTGGAGTGACAGCTCTTATGTAACAGCTACTGCTGTAGTCACATTTACTTGTATTAAAAAGAAAATGGGCCTGTCAGCTCATATTGACTAGATGTAAACCATAACTAAATGACTTTTTGTTAGACAAGTCATTAGTAACACCTCATCTGGAATAAGCAGTTCAGTTTTGGGCACCAATTCATAAAAAGAACATTGGGGAACTAGAGAAAGTAGAGAGAAGGGCAACCAAACTGATAAGAGGCATGGAGGAGCTCAGCTATGAGGAAAGATTAGAGGAACTGAATTTATTCTCTCTTGAGAAGAGGAGATTAAGGGGGATATG